TCCAGGCGAGCCGCGTCGAGCTTGCGTCGGCGGGGTGACGATTGCAGTGGTGGAAGTAAGCACGCGACGGCCAGGATCGTCGGTGCGGGGGTGAGGATCGATAATTCGAGTTGAGTGGATGATTGGCCCGGGGCCATACTGGAATTTTACGGCGAATGCGCCTTCATTGTTGCGGATTAATTTTTGGTATGAGTTTGTGGCTGTGAAGCCGGACGTTCCTTTGTCAAAGTCCAGTATGTCCTGTCTCGACATTTCTCGTCTATCTGTCCCATCTCTCTCTCTCTCTCTCTCTCTCTCTCTCTCTCTCTCTTTTTTTTTTTTTTTTTTCTCTCTCTCTCTCTCTCCGATTTGAATGATGATGTGTTACGAGTTTGTCTCTCCTGTGTCCGAAGTGAACTCTTGTGACTTCCTGCAAAGAAGAACTTCTTCCGGAACTCTTCCATTTGTTTCCTGGGTAATCCCCAGATGTAAGGAAGCTCAATCCTCTTGTCTTGTGAACGCTGGATGCATGTGTACTATCCCCCGATTTGTCTTAGATGCATCATTGGCATTTTCGCACCTTCCAAAATTGATGTATGCATGGAGATGTTTGTATGTGAATTTTTGCGTTGATTAAACCCCGATCTCGATGGGATTTTGTTCGAGAATGCAAGAGTGTTTAGATCTGTCGTTCCGAATGCACTGCGCATGCCATCTGCCTTATGTTGCACGACATCTGCAGACAGTCTATAGGGCAGCCTTGGAAAAGCCAGGCACCTCGTGTTGTTGTTAATCTGGTCTGCTGAAACTGAGTCGTGGGTTGATCCCTCGAAACTCCAACCCGATGAATGCATGGATGCTTCCCTCGTGTCAAAAGGAAGGAAAATACTAGTTAGTTCTTTTTCGATTATGCCTTTTGATGACGTCTCGAGGGTGTTTGCAAACTCCTTTTGATTGATTGATATGTGGACTAACGACCGCTCCTCGATCGGGCGCCAGCCTCCCGTATCTCCCTCGCCAACGCGCCCCTTCCCTTACAACGAGGAAAGGACATGTGTATGGGAGTGGGACGTACGAGAAGCTGTCGCACGGATCGGTGGACAATATTACTTCCCTCTCGAAAATCATTGTTTCGGGTTCGTGGATGCGGACTTTGTCATTATTGATACGCATTTCCCACCCTACTCAGTACTGTTGCCATTTAACGAGCTGATTGTCATTCCGTGGACGGCAGTGGCGCCCCATTGGCCTCGAACCCTGTGCACTAAGTGCCAGCGTTTCAATCGCTACGAATCAAAGAGCTTCCACTACCGGATACAGAGTGAAGATGAGCACAAGGAAAGATCCACGCGGCTAAGGCCATCCACGTCAGACTCGGAACTGACCAACGAGCGACGTCGGGAATTGATACAGAAACGGGATACGTGGAGTGTACTGCATCCCTTCTGCTCTAAACGAAGATTCGTAGCGTGGTGGCTAACTCGACAATACTTTTTGGATTGAATTTGGAAATTTTTTTTTCGCGTCGTTCCCTCGCGTGCATTCCGCGACGCGCGAAAGCAACCGACTCACTTTATCAGGCCAACACGGGGGATTTCAGTTCTGTGTGTGTCCCCACACTCAATTTTCCAAAAATCCTTAGCACACCCCATCTTGCTGGTTTTTTTTTTTAGGCCTTCTTTCTGCACTCTTAGCACTCTGAACGAAAGACAGCACAGGGCGTCACTGGGCGTGAGGTTGGTATCGGAGCCGACACGTGTCGGTTCTGATGATAGTGAGTCGAACTGGCGAGAGGTAGAAGAAGTCCTCAACCTGCTCGTCGAGACTGCCCAGTGACCAGATCTAGATCTGGTCCAGCTAGACCAGCTATGCCAATGGCAGACGGTAACGTAGCTCCCCCCAGGGTGGTTGTTAGTATTCCCGCCCCTTTTCCTTTCTTTCCTAATCACACCCACCCCGAAGCTTGGTTGGAAGCCGTCGAAGCTCAAGGATATAGCGCGGGAGATCTTCCCCGCGTCATCACTTTGCTGCTTCGCAACACGGCGCATGATTGGTTTAGGAAACACACGTGGGTAGATTGGAACACCTTCAAGCAAGCATTCTTGGCCAGATTTGATACGGTTAGCGAAGATGCCGCTTGGTATGTGCTCAAGACTCGACCGCAAGAACCACGGGAATTGCTGCCTGACTTCGTGGATCGATTCCAAACCACGTTAGACAAATCAAGGCAAGATGAAAAGTCCGCCCGAGATTTGTTCATCGATCATCTATGAAGTTTAACGTTAAAAGGAAAGCTGCAGAAAAAGGTCCCCCCTAAAACGCACCAGCTATCCGCTATCATCACTAAAGCACTTGAGTTAGACTTGACGGATACAAAGAAATATATCGGCCAGGGAGACGAAGACATTACGGACACGATTCAGGATGTAGCGGCGAAACGACGATCGTGGTTACGAGCGGTAGAACGATTCTATCCTCGGCCTGATCATCCCGAAGGGGTCGCCTCTGATATCCCGTCAGTTCCTTCTCCCCCTCCTCCAACCCTCTCAATGAACCAAAACGTAGCAACTGTTAAACCCAGAAGCTCCCAAGATCCCTCTCCAATGGCCATAACAAACATGCACTTCGCACAGATGATCCATACAGCTACTACCAGACAATCTGAATGGATGAGCAACCTGGTCCATATGCAGGCGGCTCACATGGATCGAATGGAACAGATAATGAGCAGACTAATTAAGCCCAACCCGGCTCCTGCTCGACCTGCCCCTGCATCATTCCCGCTTTTGCCTGCTCCGCTTGCGCCCGGACATGCACCGCAGTTCCCTCCTGCAGCTAACTCGGCAGGGAAAATCGAGTGTTACAACTGTAAACAGCCCAGGCATTTCGCCGGGACTGTCCACAGCCGAAACGAAATCAGCCCCCACCTGTCGCGGCTCCCATAGCTCTGAATCAAGGACGAATGACCGCACTAATGGATACGGCCCGAAGTGAGGAGATCGTTGCGTACGCCCCGGAGCGACATTCCCCCTCAATGGCGGTTGCATCGACCACAGAAACTTCTTCTTCCGACGCTGTTGACGTGGTCGATTCGCTCGAATACCTTCATCTCGCTGGAATGATCGGAGCAATCCGACCAGCCCAAGACGATCTTGAATGGGTCGAACGCGAATCTAACCCAGGACCACAGTTTCAGACGGGAGAAATCGATGTACTACGAACGCTTAAGCAGCTGGACATTCGCGTTCCGGTCCTAATTGGGCATTTGCTCACCATATCCGAAGCAGCGAATGACAAGCTGCTGCAACAATATCAGAAGAATCAAAAGCGCTTTACATACCCGCGCATACAACGAATGTTGAAAAAGAAGAAGGAAGAAGGAGCGGAGGATGTTGCATCGCCTGAACCCGAAGTTGGTGAACCCGAAGCAGCGCGAGTAGCTGCAATTTCTTTAGCTGAGAAAGATCACTTCGTTTGAGCTCGACCAGTGTTGTGGAAAAGTGTTGAATATGATTGCGAAGTATGGGGCAAACCCTTTTACGCTCTCATCAATACCGGCTCCTCTGCGGTCGTTATATCATTAGACACGGTAAAAAGAACGGGACGACTCAATTCGATTCTCCCTTAATCTGGCAAAGACCATTACGTCTCTGTCGACGAGGAAGCACTGAATATTGTAGGAGTCATCGAGAATGCGGCCGTGAAAGTTGGACGAGTGCACGTCCTCGTTAACACCTTAGTCAAAGATGTGCACTCATATTCGGTATTGTTAAAACCTACGTTGCACGCCCGGCCGCGGCCGGGGGGTCCGAGTCGGCCGCGGCCCAGGCCGACCTGCCGAGTTCGGTGCAGTATTTTTTGTTCCCATTTTTTACGTGTAAAAAAAAAAAAAAAAAAAAAAAGGGCATGTTGGGCTGGAAAAGCCCTACACGACTTTGGGGG